AAGCCGATGCTACAAAAGAAAACAGGGAATTCAGAGTTAAACAAGACAAATTCAATTTTTTTTAAATCTTCATTTCTGGTTAGAAGCCAGGAGAAGGTTGTTAAGCCATAAAGATGGCAAGCATCTTCATCATGAGAAGAAATTAATACACTTTAGGGCCAAGAGGGAGCATTATAATCATCTAGTCTGACCTTTGCATAATTCAAGTCACATAACTTTATCCAACAGTTTTTGCACTGAGCCCAATATCTCGTGATTAAAATAAAACATGGTAGAATCCTGGACCAATTGAAGTCACATTGACTTAAACAGGGCCAGGATTTCACCTCATATGTGCTGCTAGAAAGACATCCAATCTTGATTTAGGATGGGCTATTTAAAGGGGTATAAGAGATTTACTTACCCAACCTCAGCTGATATTAAGAATTTGACACATAAACCACTTAATTTCTTTTGAAAAATATTAAAGACCTTTAGTGATGGAAAATACACCACATCCTTTGCTTAACTGCTCCAGTCAATGATTACCTTCATTTTAACACTGGAATCAGAGAATCCTAGAACTGGCAGAACGAAGCACTGTCAAGATTATCCTTGACAGATGTCTATCCAAACTGCTCTTAAATATCTCTAGTGATGGAGATTCCACAACTTCCCTAGGCAATGTATTCCAGTTTTTAACGACCCCGACAGATAGGAAGTTTTTCCTAATGTCCAATCTAAACCTCCCTTGCTACAAGGGAAGCCCACTGCTTCTTGTCCTACGTATATCCAGTTTGCCTAGCATTAATACAGCACAATTATGCTATCTAATCTTAGTTAACCTGACTTACAGATCTGCTGTATAGATATTTTTAAACAAATAACTGCATAAAATGGGAAGGATGGGGCATACTCACCATACAACTTCATGTCTGTAATTGGTGCAATAACAGCTCCACATTTAAAGAGTCTTTCATTGGATTTCAAAATCATTGATGCGATGTATCCACCATACCCCTATTAAACCAGATAACATGATTGCTGTTTGTTCTTGTTCATTGTTCCTTAACTCAGATTAAGTTAACGAGTATCTTGCTACTTTTGTCATGCCATTCCACTATATTTATACCTACAACTATTGCTTTAGCATGAATTAAAAGCCTCTGAACAGTGAAAAGGGTGTGGTAGTTCTGTCTTGCTATGAAGCCTGAGGCTTTAAAACATATTATAATTTATAATTGTTTAATAGTAAGAATAAGATGAGGTATATTTTAATTTAAGATACCATAGTCTCTTTGTAGCGCCAGCCAGCTCTTCTGCAGACTGTGGGCTAGTCTGCACAAACAGAAAAATTGAAGATAAGTGTCTCAGAGACAGTACATAGATGGGAGAATTTTTGTGAATTTTTGTGAATTTTTGCTTATTACTGGGGCTATGTCTAGACTGTCGACAGAGGGATGCAAATCAAGCACGTCAAAGTTGCTAATGAAGCAAGGATTTAAATATCTCATTAGCTTCATTAGCATAAACATGGCTGCAGCTTTTTTTTCCAAAATGGAGCTTTTTGGAAAAAAAACCCGGCAGTATAGATGTGGATCTGTCAAAAATAAACCCTTTTTCGACAGATCCTGTATTCCTCAAAAAATGAGGTTTATGGGATTTGTTGAAAAAGGCTTTATTTTCAGCAGATCTGCATCTAAACTGCTGGGTTTTTTTGAAAAAGCTCCATTAAAAAAAAAAGAGTGGCAGCCATGTTTATGCTAATGAAGCACGGGATATTTAAATCCCTGCTTCATTAGCAATTTCAATGTGCTTAATCTACATCTCTCTGTCAATAAAGAGGTGTACTCTGGGTGAACACTGCAGCTTTAGATTGAGGCTAAGGAAGAAAGGAGGAGCTGTTACCTGTGCTGTCTCTGAAATGGCAGTCTTTACAGATGGATTCCTCAGAGGAGGTTTCTGCCTGAAGCATTGCCAAGTTTCCCCTGAAAAGGGGTTGCATTGTCTAGAATTCAGCAATCACTTTGCCCTCCAGAAACTAGCACAAGTGTTGCCTTAAATGGAACAGAGATCACCCTTGTGTACAGGAGACTCTCTGGTGATATATATCCCACTGGCCTTGACCAAAGTATTTATGGCTAGAAGAAATTTGGTCAGTGAGCTCAATGCTCTGCATTTCTGTGGCTCTAGTAGCATGTGATCAAGCAGCTCTCAGGAAGAGCCTACACAGAGCGGCAGCAAGATCAGTCCTTTACTGGTGGGATGGGGTGGGATGCAGAAGAAACGTATGAACTCTAGTAATTATTTAAGACTGTCTATCATGGTTTTTTTGTGATGAATTTGACTATATGAAATACTTGTAGACTTACTCCAGAGTCTGAAAAGATGGAGTTCAAAGCCCTGCAGTCCAGAATTAATACTTTTACCATATTCATCACGTTTCTCTTAGAAGGGCTGTTCTCTTTCTTTTCTATTGTTATTAGAATATTGCCCTTCGGAAAATATTTATATATAGCAGAAAGGCGCTAACCAATGAAACAGGAATGGAGTCAGTTGGCCAGGGTTCATCTAGACCAGTGGTTCTCCAAATCTGAGTCAGGACCCCAAAATGAGTCACAACCCTTTGGTACTGGGGTTGCCAGAGCAGGTGTTAGATTTGCTGGGGCCAGAGGCCAAAGCTTAAGCTGTACCATACAGGGACAAAGCTAAAGACTGAGGGCTTCAGTTCTGGGTGACAAGGCTCAGGTTGCAGGTCCCCGATACTTGGTGGTAGTGCTCTGACACTTGGTGGTGGTGCTCAGACAGGTTCAGGTTTTGGTCCCTTCTCCTGGGGTCATGTAGTAATTTTTGTTGTCAGAAGAGGGCCATAGTGCAATGACGTTTGAGAACCCCTGGCTCTAGGCCTTACTGATCTGAGATTCTGTATCCTTTTCTTCATTGCTAAAATGGTTAATAAAAAAAATATTTCTGGAATATCCAGAGCATTTGTGAAACAACATTAACTCTTAATTAAGGAAAAAGAGATAAATTAGATAAATTAGAAAATGTGTTCTGGGGTTCATAGCCTTATCAACGTAAACCAGTTACAAAGGAGAAAATACAGAATAAAACTGAGATTTTCAAAGGAGTCTAAGAATTAGGTGCCCAATTCTCAAAGAAACCCTAGCCTAAATTGCTGAAGACAACACAAAACTGCCCACACACAGTAAAAGATTTTGGCTTACACAGAATGTTGATGTAGGTGCCAGTAACTAGTATAATTCAAAAAGATGAACGGAACAGTAACACTTTTTCTGCCTCCAGGTTCTTTTTCTTGGCTGCTTGTTTAATATTCTGCTTGTACCTTTTGCAGTAGTTTCACAGAACAATTTTAATGCTACATAGGCATTGTCAACTTATTCACAATTTATACTATGCCTTCATTAAGAACCCAGTTTAGTTCTACTGGGAATATTTTTTCTCTGGGTCTGTGCCTTTTCTTCCAGTTAGGATTCCCAAGACATACATATAACATGTATAGTTTCTCTCAATGGTTATACAATATTTAGTTGGTATTTTATGATTTAAGAATCTGGACTTCCTGTTCTTAAGTTAAATTTCTGTGGTTTCACCTCCAGTACCACTTTTTCCACATCCCTGTTAGCTACACAGTCAGACTTTCAAACTTATTTTCAATTTCCATGATGGAAAGTTGTAAACTATATACCACAATTGTTTGGTATATACCAGTTCAAAGAGACTCCTCTGGTGCCCTTCATCAGTAAGATTTGTAACTTTCCTGCAGGTGAGCAAGATAGTTTTGGTGGCCTGCCTGATAGACATTGGTATGCCCTCTTGAAATTCCAGCTGTTTTTATTATTACTCCTAGTAGTTTATATTGAAGAATTTGTCAAGTCTTTGTTCGGAGTAGCTCAAAAGCATGTTACATTCAAGTGTGCAGAAGAGCTCCAGGACAAGATGTGTGTGCCCAGCTGGGCTGCGATCAACATAGGTAATCCACAAAATCCTCTTACTCTTCCTGCAAAAGGCATCTTCTATTCATTTCCTTAATCAGAGCATAAAACTTGTAGGCTATGTCTAGACTGGCATGATTTTCCGCAAATGCTTTTAACGGAAAAGTTTTTCTGTTAAAAGCATTTGTGGAAAAGAGTGTCTAGATTGGCATGGACGCTTTTCCACAAAAGCACTTTTTGCGGAAAAGCATCCGTGTCAATCTAGATGCGGTTATGCGCAAGAAAGCCCCGATCGCCATTTTCGCCATCGGGGGCTTTTTTGCGCAAAACAGTTTTTAGCTGTCTACACTGGCCCTCTTGCGCAAAAACATTTCTGAAAAAGGGCTTTTGCTCAAATGGGAACATCAAAGCATTTGCTCAAGAAGCACTGATTTTGGACAATAGAACCTCAGTGCTTTTGCGGAAATTCAAGCGGCCAGTGTAGACAGCTGGTAAGTTTTTCCGCAAAAGCAAGTGCTTTTGTGGAAAAACTTGCCAGTTTAGACGCAGCCGTCATGTTTATAATGACAAAAAATGTGTATGGTCCATATTTCATATGTTTGAGGGCAAAATGAACTTACAATAGTAGAGTCAAATATGCCTAGCAATATTTAGCAGTTTTTCTATTTCTAACTGGCTATGTGGGGATTTTCTCTATTTTTATTACTGATGGATAAACCTCAAAAGCTTTGAAATGTTTAAGTTAAACTGAGTGGCAATAAACACCTCCAAATTCTAAACTGATTTGAAGTTTTTCTAATTTGCCAATATTTCCTCTTTACTGTTCTACCTTCAAAATCTTCCCTTTGCAGCACTATCAGCCAATATGTGCATAAACTCTTCTGGTAACAATGTTTTTTGAAAGAACATCATATTTGTTCTCTAGTGGATTGAAATGCACCGCACCAACAATGGTCGTGACTCTATTGTAGAAGACTGCTCAAGTCTATGCCATTTTGCAGTTCTCTCCTCATCACATTGTTGGTTTGGACAGATAATATTTAGGTCTTCTACTTTCCCTCTTACTGAAGTAGTAAAGGCCCATTGGGGGCACTTTTCAGAAATATCAAATACAAATTTAAAGAATATAAATGAAATATTACTTAAATCAGATGCAATTGAATTATCTGACTACTATGAAGGGTGCTTGTATGACTGCATGTCATGCTAAAAGACAGACTCCGGCACACTTTGAGTGAGGGAGTGTATGTATATGTGGTAAAAGATATAGGGTTACATGCTTGTGTGCATACATCAGATACTGCGATGAGAGGGCACGTTGAAAATGGACAAGAGAGGTGTGCAACTCTGTCTTCAAATGGACAACATCAGTTATGCTTATATTTCATTAGAGGGAAATACAGATAGTTGACACATAGAAAGCCCATTCTGTTGGAAACTGTGAAATTTTTAAAAAGCATTTCTCTCCGTTTCAGACAAAGGCTAGATATTCACCCCTGAAAGGAAATTAAAACAAATCAGGAAATCTAATCTAATCTAATCTAATCTAATCTAATCTAATCTAATCTAATCTAATTAGGAAAAAAATTAAACCATTTCAGTTCATGAAACAAAATGGAGCAGCTGACTTCCCTGACTCATGCTGTGAAACATTTCAATGGATGGGTCTGAATTTTCTAACTAAACATCTTGTTGGAAAATTCCCAAAGAGATCAAGTTGAAAATGTTTTCCTTTCTGTGGCTAGCCTACAGACTGAGTATAAACTCAAATGCTAGTGAACTTTTGACAGCAATATCTTCTTTAGCTCAATACAGTAGGAGCTTGTGTGTTTGGAGGTAAAGATAATGCTGCACTTGAAACAGTAAAAATAGCACTTTATTTTCACTAGGCTGCATAACCATTAACTAATTGCCACAATGCTAGCTCCAAGGATGTAAATATTATCTCATCTGACAGCCAAAGTGAGATACAGAGATTAAAAGCCTTGCCTATGGCCCCATAGCAAGACAGGAGGAGAGGGGATTACTAGAATTTTAGAGTTTCATATCGAATGCATACTGCTTCAATAACTGATAAGCATTTTGCCTGTATATGTGAGCAGTGATGGTTTGTTTGTTGTTTCCACTGTGAAATTTTAAACTTCTAAAGACACAAAATATTGACATTTTCAAGATAACATTTTAAAAATAAATATCACAAAGAAACAAATGTCACTTTCCAAAAGATACAACTTGTCTTGCGTTACACTTCTAAAAGCTAGTTTCAAGCGAAATAATTAAAATTCTCTTTAACTTTTTGCTAAAGGTTAAACCTTTGCCTGGGCTTTTAAGATGCCAGAGGCAAAAGGATATAACTCAGCTAAACAGCTGACAAAACAGCAAAGAGGAGACTTCTAACAATTGGCACAAAAAAGGATGCTACTCAGTGCTCTGGGATCTTATCTCAAATAACTCAAAAATGCTAAAAATGTCTGCATATAAATTGTGTATTAAAGGGGCACTGTCAACTTCAATATGGACTAGAATTTAAATTGTGCAAAAAATGAGCATTTGCAGAAACTATGACAAAATCAAATAGTAGTCCTATGGCACCTTAGCACATGTCAAGACTAGCGAGAAGATCAACCCTCTGGAGGTCTATCTTCTAGAGTTCAATTTTGCAGGTATAATGAAGACCCGTAAATCAAACACTGGGACAGGACCCACTGGTGTCCGGTATGCCTCATTCTGCAAGGAGTAAGGGAAGCCAATGGGAGCACAGCTGTGTAGATGGCATTTTAAAATACATCGACTCCAGCTACATAATTCACATAGCTGGAGTTGGGTATCTTAGGTCAACTTTCCGCTCCAGTGTAAACACATTGTTTCCACGCATTTATTTTAAACTTCCAATGGAAAAACTGGGTTTTTCCCTGAACAGTTAATATTTTCCTTGCAGTACCTGGCAGGCAAATTTTGCAACAGTAAGAACCTGAAAGTGAACCTGACTTGCTAGATGCTAATTGTTCACTATAAGGAAAAGTATAATCAGTATTAAATAATGTAAATATGGTTTTAATTTTATTTTAAAATAGTTATTGGAGACATACATAAAAATGTGTTTGCAACAAATGATTTAATAACTGACAATGTCCTCCTGCTATTTTTGCCAGTTACCTTTCCAAATATGCTCAGCCGGTTAGGATCTATGAATGGCTGTTTCAGTAATGATCTGTAAGAAAAAGGGAAATGTTACATGCTGGAGAGTCAGTTGTGTGGATGGGATTATTTGTAGAAAGAATTATGATAAACTAAGTGAGAAACTGAAACAAAATACAGGACTATGTAGCACTTTAAAGACTAACAAGATGGTTTATTAGATGATGAGCTTTCGTGGGCCAGACCCATTTCCTCAGATCAAATAGTGGAAGTAAATAGTCACAACCATATATACCAAAGGATATCCACTATTTTCTTTCACTATTTGATCTGAGGAAGTGGGTCTGGCCCACGAAAGCTCATCATCTAATAAACCATCTTGTTAGTCTTTAAAGTGCTACATAGTCCTGTATTTTGTTTCAGCTACACCAAACTAACACGGCTACATTTCTATCACTAAGTGAAAAACTGACTTTTAAGAGTTCAAATAAAAACAATGAAAGGTGTTATTTTCGTGAAGTCTTGTTGTTTGCTTTCAGATCCCAACTCTCCATGAAGGAAGAAATTATGAATACTCACACAGAGGTAATTTATCAGCTATGCTTCCATAAGGATAATATGTAGAAGAGTCTCTACAGACCATGGGAAAACTGGGTTTGAACAGTACCAAGAAAGGAAGAAAACTCTGGGCCCCCTTGCATACAGCCCATGCAAGTGGTGCACCCACAGAGAAACCAAATAAAACAGGGCAATGACTCTGAACTCATGAATACAGAATTCTGATTAAGAAGAAATCTTCAATTTACAATGTGGAGCCAATTAAAGTACTTAGTTCCATCCATGTCCCAGTTGTGGATGTGAGCATGGCCCCTCTCCCTGCCCTGTAAATCTGTCAGTGTGTGGCAGCAAGCGAATGGGAAGGCAGGGAGATAGGGAGAATCATGCTGTTCCTTTGAATAGCCTGTGAGGCAATTCTTTCTCCTTTCATATGGAGGAGAGGGTCCTTCACTCAGCCTCAACATGTTTGCAACCCCACCAACCTTTCAGATAACATTTTCATTACAGACGACTTTCAGAAATGTAAAGTATGCCATTCTAAAACTGTGCAAATATACATCACCATACTTACTACATGATTACAGGTGATAATCCATCCATCTCTAAAATACCGCTCAATCAATGAGAATAACCTATCTAGGAGTGGTCCTTTAATAAAAAATGTGTTATTGAGTATTTTTACATGTAAAAATATAGTGGAGCCTGATTCTCTGCTTAAATTGGTATAAATCTGCAATAATTCTGTTGTAGGTAATGGAGTTACTCATGCTAAAACCGATGATGTAAATAGGAGCGTAATAAAACTTTGGTTAAATTCTGCTTGCATTAGTATTATTGTAAGTCTGGTGACCTAATGAAGTCACTGCTGATCTACAGTGATGTAAGGGAGAGTGGAATCTGACCCTATATGTTTAAGACATTCTATCTTGTTTGAAATGAAGCACTGTATATTATGCCAGGAGTAATTTTTCCAAGGAAGCTAGAAAATATGTAAACTAGATTAGATTACATATTTAGATTAGGCCTGGAAGGACAACTTTATTAAAGAGGAACATCAATCCAAAACATTTTTCCCTTTGATTTTTTATTCATTGAATCACACTTTGCAATGAAAAGCCTAATGTTTTGAAACGTGCTACTGCACTAAAGATAAGCATTTAACATATTTCATTCTGCAAATGGAGACTAGCCATAGCTGGAAATGTGCTGTTAAGTGTGTCTATTAATCAAGTGAAGGTGGATTAAAATAGAAGAAAAGTTTGCACATACGTACTCTATAGCTGCTATTTGGTCCTTCACTTCCACTGAACCTAAGGAACGATGTACTCCCTGTAGAATTTTAAGGCCTTGAAATCCACTCCCTCTGCCATCAAATCGAGCTACGATGACATTATCAGAGTTGACAAGCACCGAATCCCAGTCAATGTGAAACTTATCTGTAACCAACTGGCTGCCTGGAGCTTCATCACTGTAAATACCAACACACCAGACACAAACACAGACTATTGACAACATGATACACTTTGCAGTTCTTCAATATTTTATTTAACTGAGGCAGCAGAGTTCAGTCAGTTTGCGCAACCCAGTTGAATTATTGTCAGGTTAATCTATACCATCACGTTAACCAGTGATTTTATCCCTCATGGTAGCAGTAAGCAAAATAATTTGTTGAACAACACGAAGCAAACCCACTATGACTATAATGTGGTGCAGTAGGTGGGATACTTAGATAATTTTTGCCGAAAAGAGATGTGAAACTGAAGGACATTCTTTTCATACAGTGATCCTGAAATTAACATTATGCCTTCTGGTTATTTGAATTCTGGAAATTTCATTCTAGAACTTGTTAAGATCCTATAGAGTGACAGAAGGAAAAACTCATCATAGCAGCCTGACAATAACAAAAATATCTGTGTTATCACATCCTAGAATAGATTTTTGTGAAGAAGATTGAAGAGGAAAATTAAGTATGTTTTGAGGGAAATTATTTTTCACTGTCAATGTTTCTAGCAACAAAAGAATGCAGGCATGAGTGCTAAGCTGTTTTTGTTGATGTTGTTTTTCCGTTATAAAATAAAGGTTTTACAGTAGAAAAGATGGAAAAGAATAGGAGGAAAGAAGTTTCCAGGGTGCTGACTAGCATTTTCCATTGAAGGTAAGTTTACTTTTTTTCATTCCAATGAAAACAAAATGTCAGGTTTTTTTGTTTTTTTTTAAAGAGCCTTGTCATTTTTTTCCCAAAGAGAAACACAGAATAAGAAAGCAGGCTACCATGAAGTTGTATAAAATTCAAAATGCTTCTGTGCAGACTGCATCTGCCAGTTGAATGCAAATTAAAATGTAAAAGTGTCTGTATAGGCAGTATGGAAATTAGATTGGACAATGTCTCTGGGAATATTCTAGGGTGAAAGAAGGATGGAAGTAGAAATTATTTTGCTGTTTTTTTTTCTAAACTTGAAAGAGTTATAGAAATAGGGAAAAAACAACCTACAGCAATTTCAATCACTGTTGTGTCATGTGTACCTCTGGCTGATTAATTGGTTTTATTTTTGCTGACAGTTCAGCTGCAAAGTACTCTTTCAAACAGCATGTTAATTAGTATGTACATAATAAATAAATCTGTTTTCAAATTTACATAGGACCTACCATATTTATGTAACTGTAATTTTAGAAACAAAGCTCTGGATAAACTATTTTTAACTGACATGTCAATAAATCACCTTAGGTTTTTTGTTCTTTTGTGTCTTGAGAAAACAACTGAATTCTTAAAACTATTGCATATTTTGAAAAGAGGTTTTACCATATGGTACCACTAACCATGAAACAGTAAACATGAAACTCTGCCTAATGTCATATAAGCTAGGTAACAAAATACCACTATCTTGGCAGTATTTCACTTTTTCCATTAATTGAAGTACAAAAGTAACAGGCACTGAGCAGCTCTTCCTATCTATATTTAACATTTAGAAAGGATTTTTCAAAAGCATTTGCAGTTGGCCTAACTGTTCCCATGAAATTTTTACTGTTGACTTTAATAGAATCAGATTTAGAACAATGGTGAGTTTTTGAAGTCTTACCCCAAATGTTCTTAGTCAGAAAGTTTTCTGTAGAAGCCTTCACTTAGCTAAGTATGACTCTCTCATCTGTTCTTGATTATTTTTAACTATTTCATAATTTCCCACCCATATTTTCAAAAATCAAGAGTCAGGCCCCCAAAAATGATTACATAAAAATCATGAGATTAAAAAAAAATAAGATTCTTGTTTTTTGAGTTCTTTGATTCATGTGGGCCACATTTTAAAGCTTGACTCTGAAACCAAAAGGCCCGAGGTTCAAATATAATCACGTTTTTCAGAAGCTTAAAAAAAAAGTGAGATTGATGATAAAACTATGAGTTGGTAAAACTGCTCTTTCCCCCTGAAGCTTGTTTTTGGTAGGAAATGGCAGAGTTTTCTTAGCATCAGACTTAAAATCCCAGATGTCTTGCAGTGTATTTTTAATGGGTTGCTTTGACATGTATTACTGCATTTCAAGGAAACCTATACAAGTGGTTTTTAATGGACACTTAGCATCACTCCCAGGGTATGTCTACACTACAAAGTTAGTTCGAACTAACGTCCGTTAGTTCGAACTAACTTTCATAGGCGGGATATGGTGCTTGGGAGCGGCACAGGATGCAAAAGCAAGTAAGTGTCTCCTCCCACCCCCTTATGCCCAGACTTTGCACCCCCAGCCAGCCCCTGCACCCTGGCTCCTGGCCAGACACCCTACTTCTACCCTGCTCCCACCCAGACCTTGTACCCTCACCCCCTTCTGCACCCCACGTCCCACCCAGATCCTGCACCCCCATCCCTATCCCACTCATCACGGGCAGCCCTTCCTACACATTTTTGGCCCCATCCCAGAGCCTAAGGGGGTCCATAAAATCCACTAACCCCAGAAGAGTAACTCTGGGTTATGGGGAGTCCTGCACCTCAGTGTACCCTGTCTCTCCCCCTCTCCCCATGGGGCTGCGGTGTCTCAGTTGGGGGCCACATGCCAGCTAGGGCAGGAGAGCTGCCAGGAGGTTTTTTTTTTTTTTTTTTTTTTTTCACTTGTGTGTGGT